CCCTCCATCTCCTCCTCTCCCTCCTCCCCCTCCTCCTCCCCTTCTCCTCCTTCTTTGTTACACGAGGGACTTGGTTGTGAGCGGATGCTCAAGGGAAGGACCAGCAGAGAAGTCTGAGGGTCTCGTGGGGTGGCAGGGAAGTGGCCTTGCCCAGGGAGACCCTCCTTTCCCAGAGCCTGAGGGGTCACCCTCCGCCCCCACTCCTCATTAAGGAGGGGTCCCTGTCTGGAGCGTCTGGGTGGGGGGTGGAGTCAGGCTGGAGGAGGAGGAGCCTCTCTGTCTGTGGACTCTCCCATAGGTCTCGGTGACAGCTGCTTGGGAGACACCCAGGCAGCTGGCTGGGCATTGGGTTGGCTGCCGGGTGGAGGCCAGAGGGACCGGGTGTGGCCGGCAGGCAGGTGGGACAGAGGAGCTGGCGGGGCCGTAGGAGGCCGGCAGAAGCAGTGGCAGGGCTGTGTGCGGGGCCGCCCGACCTGGGCACCGTCGTGCACCTGGCCTGCCTGGAGAAGGGTGAACAGGGTGCTGGGACCGTCCTCTGGAAGACGGAGGGGACTCGGCTCACATGTGATCCTCTCAGAGCTCCACCCGTCACCCCAGGTGCGCTGTCTGTGGGCGCCCGGGTCCAACTGCCCAGCCCATGCCCACGCACTGGGGGAGCAGAGGTGTCTGCTGGTCAGTGCCGCCCAAACCGTCTGCCAGGTGTGAGGCGGGACACACCAAGCCCCTGCCTCTTCCCCTGTCAAGTCCAGCTGCTGTTAACTTCGTCCTGAGCTGGCTCAGGGCTGCCGCGCCCTCCACGCAGACTGTCCCGTGTCCTGGGCCTCTTCCTCCTGCCATGGGCCCACAGTGGCCCTGCCAGCTCTCTCCTGGACCCCTTGGGTCCTGCCTGCCTCCTGCCGCCCCAAGGCTGCCTGTTCCCTGTGCCCAGAGCCCACCTGGGCCTCCTGGTAGGTGCTCAGTGTTTGCTGAAAGAATTGAGAGGACGGGTGCCCTCGGTGACCCCACGACCATCTGTCCACCACGGCGCACCTACTCCACCCCCAGAGCTGGTCGGCGCCCCTTCCCAACATGCCAGGACCCCACCCACCCCGCGCCCAGGCCCTCCTGCTGCAAGCCCTGTCACCTGACGCCTGGCGGCTGCGGGGCCACAATGTCCTCCCCTGGAGGCCCCTGCAGTCCCTCCTGCCCCCTGCAATGAGCTGGGAGTTGGCTGCTGCCCGCTCAGGACTCCACGCTGGGTCCCCGACACTCAGAGCAGAGCCGTCCAGTGACCCACAGGGCCTCACGGCCAGCCCTGCCCACGCCTCTGGGGATCCACCTTGGACCCTCTTCTCCCTCTCGCTCTCTGCTCTGCCTGCTTTGGCCACCGTGCCTTCCCCAGGTGACGACCCTGTCCCTTTTGTGTAGCCCTGGCTGCTTCTGGGCCCTCTGCCTGGTCATGCTCTGTTCTCCGTCACCCCGCTCTCCAGTGGTCTGACCTCAGATGTCCAGCCCCGGCCACCACTTGCCCCACACTCCTCTCCCATTTTGGGTCCCCATCAGACACAGTAGACACCTCTATGCCTCTCCCTGGTTCACCCAGAGGGGCTGTCCCCCCCACTGTGTCTGTTGGACCCCTGCACTTGGGGCGGACCCGTCTGTGGCAAGGGCGCAACGAGGTTCCACTGAGCACGTGAATGAATGAATCCAGGGCAGCCGCAAAGAGCCTGCTTTCCTGTTCTGAGGCGGCCTGGCCTTGCTGTGTGGCCTCGGGCCCTGCCTGGAGCCTCACATCCAGTCTCTGCCCAGGGAGGGTCCTGGGGTGACCGATCGCCCGCGGGTTCGGAGGTCCCCGAGGTCGCAGGTGGCCACACTCACCTTCTGCAGCCGCAGCGTGCTGTTCTCCAGCGCCTTCTCCAGCTGTCGCATCCGCTGGGCCCGCCAGGCGCCCAGGGAGGCCGAGGGCGCTGTGGGGGACACGTCCCTCTGGAGGCTGTCGGGGCTCCCGGGGTCCCCCAGCGGGCAGAGCTGCGGGTCGGGCAGCACGAAGGTGTAGCTGCACGGGCCGCTCTGGACCAGGTGCACCTGGCACTGCGCAGCCGCCTCGGGTCCACTCCTTTGGGCTGCAATCATGGTGGCCACCGCGAGGAGGAGGCCGCCCAGCAGCATGGCTGCCCGGGAGAGCATCTGGGACACGGTGCGGGCGGGGGTGGGGGTCAGCGCTGCCGGTGCTCAGGCCACCGCGGGGACAGCACAGCCCCTGCCGAGTGAGCGCCGCCCAGCCCGGTGCCGGCTCTGCGCGGGGCTATTTATGCTCCTCGGTCCAGCTGCTGGGCTTCCTGTCGCCCTGGCCTCCGCGCCCACCCCCAGGCACCCCTCACTGCTGTCCTCTCGCGTCCCTTCCTTCCTCCCGCTCCTGCCCACAGGCCTGGCTCAGCCTCCACGCCTCGGGACCTCTGCTGTCCAGCGGGGCCTGGCCTCCCTGCTGGA